GTTGGAAGATCCAACCATGGCCCATTATAAGATTTCTAGCATGGACAGTCAGTTTTTAATTTTTTATCCATTGGTATTTTATAGAATCCATTTTGCCATCTATCTGAACAAGATATCCAGGATCTCCGGCAGAAAAATAGGCCCACAACATTAAAGATCCAGCAGTATATTTCATTGTACACATGGGCTGCTTTTTTATCCCTTTGTGCACCAAACCCATCTTGAGTGTTTGCTGCTAAAAAGCTACATTTTAGTTTCATCTGACCATTGAACCCAGTCCCGTTTAAAGTTCCAGCCGTGTCTAGCAAATAAATATGCTGGAGTTTGTTTTTGGATGAGAGCGTTTTATTTTCTAGTTTTTTCTTGAAACCCTCCCAAACAACATTGGTTTTTTTTTTTTTTTTTGTGGCTTTCTGACCCCAAGACTCAACAATTTTCTGCAGTTTCTCCAGCTGTGATCCTTGGAGTCTTTGGCCACTCTCCTCCTCACCGTGCATTAGGACGATATAGACACATGTCCTCTTACTGTATTAGAGAAAATTATTTATTTCATAATGTGATTTTCCCCTACTTTCACTTTTTTTTTTACTTTAATTAAAGGTTAGATTTTTATTTTATTTTATTTTATTTTTTTTAATGAAAGATCAAGTGGATAAACAATGCGGATTTATTTCATATTTTCAATCATATTTACCAAGGGTATGAATAATTTTGAGCACAACTGTATATTAAATATTCTCATTTTTAAGTCACTTTGGAAAAAGGTTAATGTATGAATATAAATGATGTCCATGTTTTTTTTTTCCCCTTATGCAAAAATGTTACAAAGGAGGGCATGACCAAAAAAGCACTGGTTGCGTGATACACAGGCAGTCCACTGGATTGCACTTGTTTGCCTGGAAATCTAACCAAACAAAAAAAAAATGTCTTGCATTTTTTTTTTTCTGATCTATCACCTTGGTTTTAAAATGTAAATATATTCCAATTTGTTACTATAACTTACAGTACCTCACCCTTTATAAATGAGAAAAGCCTTGATGAAATTTTGCACATCCCTTTTTAGGTTGTTTCTTACAGGTATAACATTAATGCATCCTTCCTAATTTTTTTAAAGGTTTTGAAGTGGACCTTATGCCATGTCAGTCGTTTTCAACCTTGTTCTGCTCTTTGGGACTAAAAAAGATTGTCAGCAAAAAAACTAATATTTTTATATAAACTTGCTCTTTATGTCCTTTGTTTCTCTCACTCTCCATCTAGCAGATACAGTTATGCTAGAACCTTGTAACACTTTATATTGCAGTGCCTGTGTAGTGTATATACAAAGTATGAAGTACAAGCAGCTGCAAAAAATAATTACACAGTTAAAATGTAAACATGTAACACAATAGCACAGTATTTGTTAAGTTACTTATTACTTACTGCTGTGTAGATGTACAGCAACATGAGCGCTGTAAAATAGAAGGTGACCAACTTTTCTATATGGTACTGTTTAGATTTATGGTTAAATTATTCATTTGTCTTAATTTATATGTAACTAGTGTTTGGATATTTTACACATGTACTCTGACCACTGTTTCTTTTTAATTTATTTATTCATTTATTTATTTTTTTCAATTTTTGTGATATTTTTTTAATGAAAGATCAAGTGGATAAACAATGCGGATTTATTTCATATTTTCAATCATATTTACCAAGGGTATGAATAATTTTGAGCACAACTGTATATTAAATATTCTCATTTTTAAGTCACTTTGGAAAAAGGTTAATGTATGAATATAAATGATGTCCATGTTTTTTTTTTCCCCTTATGCAAAAATGTTACAAAGGAGGGCATGACCAAAAAAGCACTGGTTGCGTGATACACAGGCAGTCCACTGGATTGCACTTGTTTGCCTGGAAATCTAACCAAACAAAAAAAAAATGTCTTGCATTTTTTTTTTTCTGATCTATCACCTTGGTTTTAAAATGTAAATATATTCCAATTTGTTACTATAACTTACAGTACCTCACCCTTTATAAATGAGAAAAGCCTTGATGAAATTTTGCACATCCCTTTTTAGGTTGTTTCTTACAGGTATAACATTAATGCATCCTTCCTAATTTTTTTAAAGGTTTTGAAGTGGACCTTATGCCATGTCAGTCGTTTTCAACCTTGTTCTGCTCTTTGGGACTAAAAAAGATTGTCAGCAAAAAAACTAATATTTTTATATAAACTTGCTCTTTATGTCCTTTGTTTCTCTCACTCTCCATCTAGCAGATACAGTTATGCTAGAACCTTGTAACACTTTATATTGCAGTGCCTGTGTAGTGTATATACAAAGTATGAAGTACAAGCAGCTGCAAAAAATAATTACACAGTTAAAATGTAAACATGTAACACAATAGCACAGTATTTGTTAAGTTACTTATTACTTACTGCTGTGTAGATGTACAGCAACATGAGCGCTGTAAAATAGAAGGTGACCAACTTTTCTATATGGTACTGTTTAGATTTATGGTTAAATTATTCATTTGTCTTAATTTATATGTAACTAGTGTTTGGATATTTTACACATGTACTCTGACCACTGTTTCTTTTTAATTTATTTATTCATTTATTTATTTTTTTCAATTTTTGTGATACAATCCTTTGTCTCAGTCTCTCAACTTTGTCTCTTGGCAGCTGTGTGCCTGGTGCTGGGCTGTTTGATTTTCCCAGATGGCTGGGATGCAGAGGTCATCCGGGATATGTGCGGAGAGGAGACAGGAAAGTACACACTGGGAAACTGTTCAGTGCGCTGGACTTACATACTGGCCATCATCGGCATCCTAGATGCTCTCATCCTGTCCTTTCTTGCTTTTGTCCTTGGAAACCGCCAGAACGACTTTATGCACGATGAAATCAAGGCTGAAAATAAAGGTGAGAGATGGCCTACAGATTTTTAATCAATTAATTAACTGGTTATTGTTTGATATGACAAAACAGTCGCAGTGTTGCTGTGGATTTTTTTGGGATGCCATCATTTTGTTAGCTTTGTTTTGGTGACTGATATGATGTGTAAGTAAGCTTGAGTGACTGGGGATATTTACACTTGGCCATCATAACTAATCAGTCATGAAAAGACCAAGTGTAAGTGTCTTCCAAGACACATTCAAGATGCACTGCAATCCAATCTTCAGGATGTATTTCAGACGCACCTCTTTCAAATGGAAAAGCATCTGCTTGTTCATGCAACATATGCAAGTTTACTCCTTCCAACTGGGAGTATGTCGGCATACGGAAGATTGGTAGCCCTATAATCCACACATGAGTAAGCAATGACGGGTGAGACGGATGTAGCAACCGCAAAACTCAAACATTAACTGCCATATGGGCAGAAGAGAGTTTTATTATTACAACAGAAATGAACTACTTTTAGCTTCATTAGCACAGGAAGGGGCTGTTTTGTGGCCACACATTTAGGTAGCCAAACATTAATAGAAAAAGCTCAATTGCAAAACATTCCGAACAATCAAAAATGCATGAAGTGGCCAGGTGTAAATACTACTCTGATGAGTGTGTACAGACGTATACAGTATGCTCATATCTTAAATCAGACTTTTTGACAGCATTTCCATATTTCCTCATCCTGTGAATGCTTTTACAACAATCAATAATTGGCAAGAAAAAAAGAGAGAAATCTGAAGAAAAAACACCCCCAATTCCTTTATAGCATTCCAAATCAACTGGGGACGTTGTCATGGTTACGTCAGATTCCAGGAAGATAAGAGGATCTGCTGCTTTCTCCCCAGCAGCTTGGCACTCCACCGCTGTCATGGCACATACATGTTCACCATCAACCTTGCTCTCTGCTAATTAATTTGGAAAGAAGGTACATAAGCGATGACGAGAGGAAGAAGAAAAATGTGTGAGTTTGTGTGCACAGCATCTGTGATATCTGGGGCATAGGTTCTGAAAAATCAATACAAACCTTGTGGGAGGTTGCCAAACCTGATTTTCATTAAATCTCATTCATTAAAATTCATTCTTTGACATGTTCCACTACATGCATTGTGTTGGTCTAATGTTAGAAAGACTCTTCCTGGGCTTTAAGACTATGCACACTTATATAAGGTGTACTAAAGTGAGATCCACCTGTGAACATACCATTAACATCATGACAAGACTAAGATATGCCCATGGTGCAGGACACAGAATCTTAACATTACCCAGTAGCCAGTGGAAATGAGATGAACACCGTATGTACAATTGGATATTACAAATATTAGCCTACGGCGTTCAAAGCAAGTAACTGTGTGTCATTGGAAATTCAGTATATACAGGAATAGCAGTGTATTTATTTTTATTTTGTGTTTTCAGAATGGAGAGCAGTCTATTGATGTGTGATAGAGATGTGGACTGTGCACCTGATAGCTGTGTTGCTTGATGTAATCTATGGTTGTCCACCACTGATCATATGAGGATAATTCTTATAATGAAATATAAGGCATTTTTGAGGGAGTGTGCTGGCTATATGGAGCCAGAATATATGCAGTGGATTAATCTGAAATGGAGCAAGCAAGTACAAAATGGAATGGATTGACAAACAACCTTCCATTTTCCACTGGTTTTGCATCAAATGTTGTGGAACTCCATCCTATATTGTCTTGGCTCAATTTAACCATTGTAGGTCTGCTTTGATGGGCTCAGTAAAATGTTCCATAAAAAAAAATGTATCACTGGTTTACTAAAGGCGAGTGCAGGAGTTCTAAACTCAGAACAAAACCACCAGCACTTGCATACAATTAACCAATATAACATCAGGACAATACAAAAGATAGTGACAGTTATTTGGACTGCACATGATAATAAATAAACAGGATGGTTGATGGCACAGTTAGCATGACAAGAATGAGGAGCATGACAGCAAAATCAAGAACACAGAACCTAGTGCTGGACAAAAAGCAATGACTACAAGCACTGATACATTGATATAGATTTCCATTGTCTTTGTATTCTTCTTTTGAAGGCTTTGGGGGAAAATCCAGTATTAAAACTGGTAAATAATGCAAACTCTACACAGCACACACCTTACTAAACAATCACTTCTATTCTGTCTTCACAGATTTGGCAGTATCCAGGGTAAGTCGTTCTGCTGCTGTGACTTTTGTGCTTGTGTGGTCATGTAAAGTTGTTGTGGCACAAACATTAGTCTTGTAGTATCTCCCTGACTATATGTATTTTCTGTTGTCATGGTTAGCAATTAGCTTACTTTATAAAATCCCCATTTTTGCACACATATACTTATTTATAAATGTCATTCATGGGTAGACATTAAAAACACAAAGCATAACAAGACATTTATTATTCAAAGCAGGTAAAAGACTGCATGAAAAAGTGCATGTGTCAAAAGCTATGTTGGCGAGCATGGAAGCAAATATCTGGCCTGCTATTTGTACTACACGAATATAGCTCCTTTTGAGCCTACCATGTGCAAGACAATTTATTACAAAACATTTTAAACTGAACTCTGGTAAAAGAACTGAGCAAATGTTTTCCATGCTAATCAAAGTAGGGTGTTTCTATACAATAAATTTGGAGAAAGAGTCATTCAAAAAAACAACAACAACTATTCTATGTGCTCTATGTGCCTCTATATTAGGCATAGTTGGTACATCTGATTGTTGGTGTATACAGTCAAATGTGTATGAACAGCTGCAGTGTTATCAGAATTTTATTAACAGCAGTTTTCCTCCACAGCAACCTCTACGTGTAGGGTCATCTCTTCGAGTGGATGGAGTAAGCTCTTAACTTCAGTACAGTTTAACTTCACTGTATCTTATCACTCCCTAAAAAACTATGCATGCAATCATAGCATGTAGCTCTAATCTGATATTACCAAGGAGCTTCACACTTGGAATATTTTCTGATCCTGTCAGCTCTAATGCTAATGAAGTAATGGTGTTTAACACTCCCTTGTTGTGTCCTTTTGTGTGTAATTTCCTTGGCAGTGGCGTAACTATCTGCATTTCAGGTAGAGTAGTCACAGTTGGGCCACAACAACCAAGCCCTGTCGCATTATTTTACATTCACATTCAATCCAACTCTGTTATTAAAAGGATCTGAAAGAAAGGTCAGATCAGTGGCGTAGTCCTAAAAGATTTACTATCAGGCAGTCCCTTTAAAAAAACTTCACATAAAAAAAAACACATAATATCCAGTGTTTAATTTCCCTTGTTTTTTCAACTGAAAATACATAGCATTTGTCACTGAAAAGAAAACTACTGGCCATGTACACACTCCTCTGAGTGCTTTTATCCACTTCTGTACAAAACATTATAAGTATAGTGACAACAGCATTTACAGAAAATCTGCATAGTGTGTACAAAGCCGAACTGAACAACTAGTTTTTCAGTTGTTTCTCTTCTTCAAATAGTCTACTGGATTTGATTAATCCTGTTAACTTCCCAAAAATGTTGGGATAATTTTTGTATTTTGGGGGGGATTTTTTCCCCACCTTGTTACACTTATGGTTTTCCCAGTCAAAAATGACTGGCCTAAAACATAGCTAATAAATCTCATGTTATGCTGTACTATCACCAAATCTTGAATTCAATGTTTTTGTCAACTTATTTTCTTTAAATTAGGACAGGTTTTGTATTTCTTTTTGGAACTAATTGATCATAAGCCTCTTTGATCTTGGCGTATGCACTTCAGTTTGTTAGTAAAATAACCATTATTTGTGGGTAATTTGTTCATATTAAAATATGCCCTGTTTAACCAGGAAGTTTGTTTTGAAATTCATATTGATTGATTGATTACTACCAAACAAGAATGACCCAGTTGTTCTTGAAAGAGCTGCATGGTGCATACAAATTCCACTAAATGTATACTGAATTTTGACTTAATCACACATTTTGACTTAAGTCTATCTCTGTCCACTGTAGTTTTACTATAGAACATACATAAATATTTGCGAGGTTGGTAGTAACTGCTAATTATATATGAATGTAATAAAAAATACAAAGTGAGACATGCTTGATATATATAAAATAAGTGCAGTTTCTGTCCTGTCAACGGTGAGCCCCATGTGAATTTTTAAGTATATGTAAGGGTGTGCAATTTTATATGAATTTGCATGATCTTGTTTTTGTAGGGAAAACATCACGATGAGTGTTCTCCCCTAAACCCTATGAGGGAGCAGATTGCACAAAAAATATTTAAATGAGATGACAATACATTCATACGAATTTGCAACCAGTTCACCAAATCATAAAATACTTAAGAATTTCTGAAAAGTATGCCCCAGAGAATGGAAAGCATTGGGTTCATTTGGACGATATAACAGACTAAAACCAATGATTAATTTAATCATTTCTAAGATGGACAATGTTATGTTTTTGTGAATTATCATGCCCTGATAAACCATTACACCCCTAGAAACAGTATACTGTAACATGACAGTTGTTTGTGTACTTCTGAAGCAGCAAAACAAATGGGTATATCAAAGGTATAAGCAAATATTGATCATTAAATGTGATTGTATACTAATTGCCCTGGAAAAAAGTAAGCGTATGGCCCCAATTACACCACTGGTCTCAATATTATGAACGTAATGTAACATATGCATCAGTGCATATGTATTTTACTTTGTGTATCCCATCTATGGTGGCTACCTCCAATTTTTATTTTAGATTAAGCATATGCATATGGAAACAGGCCAGGGTCAATAAAGTTTATGATTTTACTGTTTTCCCCTTTCTAATTCTAAATTGTACAGTATGAACATTGGATCATTAAGAATTCCACCTCTAAAATGTAATTTTATATTTAAAAAGCCTAATCGCACAAATTAAAGGAAGAAAGAAACAAAGCCATGGGATAGTTGCCAGGGTTTAATGGCGTAATTATTATTCAATTGTAATTAATTATATTTGTGATCAAATAATTATTTACCCCAAGTTTCATTTTAAAATGCAGATAGTGGTGGGAATCCCATAAAATGGTTTTGCACTAATGCCTAGACATTCCTAGTTACGCCACTGAGTCCTACAATCCTCTCCTAATTAAAGCACAGCCTCATACTTCCAGCCTAAGGAATTATTGTAAACTCATTCTTGTATCTTTTGTTACAAAGTTGAGATGATGTGGCCCACAGACATAATAAAGGCATCTTAAAGAAAGTTTCAAGTATCTACACCTGGCTTCTCATGTAAGAATACTGATTAGAAACTGATTGTGTGATCCATCTTTAGATTACTGTAAATTGCATTCACTCCCAAAACCCACGATGATTTATTATGACTCATGTGTGTAATCTCATTTTTGTTAAATTGGCTAATTCTTCAACATGAGTCATCAGAAAGTGCTATATTATTAAAACAGCAAAGAAGACAGTGAACTTCCACAGAGGCCCAGTCCAATAAATGTCTGTATATGTTTGTGGGATACTTTGATGTAGTCATAAAATATTTGTCATTCACTAAAAACAACAACAACTACTACTTGACAGTACTTTCAGAATAGAAAAAGGATATAGCATTCAAGGGAAGTGGTTCTCAAATCCAGTTCTGGGGTACGTGCGTAAGCACAGATTTGATCTTAGAATGTCTGTACAGTAAAATCCGTGGCAACATTCAGATTTATAAAAATTGTCTTTCACATGGAAAAGTGCTTAGTGTCACGTCAGGGTCTAAGCAGACATACACAGTTTTCGGTGTTCTAGTACAGCAGGTATTTGGAAATTTAAACAATTCTTGCTGCTCACCATTCTCAAGGAAAGGATTTGAACTCTATTATGTTAATTACATTAATTAGGTGGTTTTTAAAAGGCAGAGATCTGAAACCATTCAGCTCCACACAATTTCAAGATCATTTGCGATTTATAAATTTCACACCTGAAATAGGGGCATATGTATGTTTTGTGCATTCAATAGTTCTTTGAATCACACCTACACACATTTTGGAAATGACTGTAAAATGAAATGTAGGAGAGTTTCTACACAACATTTTAAAAATGAGGCCCCTGGTGTTCCACCAAACTGCACATTTTATATGTCTCTTATCTGATGCGCTCAGTTCAGTTCATGGAGCTCTCTCCTAATGAGCCGATGATGTGAATCAGCTGTGTTAGATAAGGAAGACATACAGCATGCGCAGAGCAGTGAATCCCCAGGACCAGAGTTGAAAACCACTACATTAAGAAGTCTAATAATAATGGTCGGGGGTGGAGGATTATTGTGCCACATGCATTTCTTTTTCCACATGGACTCCCAGGCTTGCAGACAATATGTCATCTGTGGAATCACCCATATCTGTCTTGTTTCACATGTCTTGGCATTCCTATTCGGTTACCTGTTGAGTGCTTTGTCGTAATGTTGTGTCGGTTCCTGAATTCTTCTGTTCTTTGACTATGTTTTTTCTTTGCCGAGATCATGTTTGTTTGAAAAGCCTGTGAAGCCTGTGAACCGACCATCTGCTAGTGATTCCTCATTCAAACATGCCGTTACAATCTAGCCAGCATGGAATCATCTGAAGGTGATCAGCTCTGGGTCACCAAGGTGTACTTTTGGGAAAAACACAAGTCTCAGCTTTCCCAAATCCAGCCCCTTAAGCTTGATCAGGGTAAACTTGGTTTAAGCCCTGTCTTCTCTGAAGCCCTGTCTTCTTTCTCATTAGATCTTGAAAAGTATTATCGTTCAGTCTACAGCAGGGAAGCACAACTACTTTTTCACCTTCACCAGGGGAGTTGAATATGGGACTATGCCATATTGGACTTCAGTCTGCCTGGACAGTTGTTGGAAATAAAGGATGAGATCCAACACCGTAATTGACTTTGTTTGTGTTCTGGTAAGCTGAGTCTTTATTTAGCAGCATGTCCAGTAAAAGCTGATGCTTGTCAGTAGCTGCGGTTCTATTGCTGTGAGCAACACTGCTTTCTACTCATCAGCTCATTAGTAGCAAGACCTGAATTGATTGTGTCTGATAAGGGAGTGTGACGAGTGTTTTTTGTGACGAGGCCTGGTCCTCTCTCGTCCTCCACTGTCGTCGCTCCTCCTTTTATCCTTCTGGTGCTCCTCCATGGGACTCGAGACCAGTGTGTGGTGCAGGTGTCCCTCATTATCTTTCACTCTACCAGCCTCGCTCCGCTCCCATGGCTCTCGGCCCCGCCCCACTCGTCACAGGGAGGAATACAAAATATGTAGTAATAGTGCTGGGGGCCTCCAGGGCTGGTTTAAAAACGCCTGTCCTAGGCAACCACTCCAGGGAATGCTGTCCTTTCCAGTAACCACTGAAAAGAAATTTCTTTTTATTTTATTTATCTTCAGTTCTTGCACATCTTTGCCTCATGGTTGCCTCTTTATCTATGCCAGAGTGTAGAGTCACGGGGAAAAAACAACTCCACTTAATCCAGGCGTGTTCCATCCTGCTCCAACCATCCTGCCTGGAAGATTCTAGTGAGTCTAAGGCTGCTTCGGATGTGTTTAATTAGGGTTAGAGCTAAACTCTGCAGAACAGTGGCCCTTGTATATCTGTGTGGTGCCGCTCTTGGGGTTTATCATCCTGCCCGAGTGTTCAGATGGATTCAACAAATACTTGGGTTTGCCAATTTCTTCCCAAGGTTTATCTGGAACTACAGTCAGGTGCCCCCACCCCCTTAGTTGTCTGGCATAGCTCTGCTCAGAGAGCATTCGGTGACCATACAAATTCACTTTCCCAGATATTGATGTCCAGTTTATTGCAAGCAGTCCTCTTTCAACACTGTACAGGGACAGCAAGGTGAACCTCTGTCTCTCCACAGGATAGAGAATCTGTGACATTGGAAATGAGAAACTGTTGGCTATTAAGTTGACTTTTGCAGGAATTACGACTGGATGGCGCAATCAGTGTGAATTACTACAAAAGCCTAGAATACATCCAAGCAGTCAAGTGTTTGAACTACCGTTAGACCAGACAGACACTGTTCTATGCTTGCTTCCAGTTTTCCCATTCTTACTGCACAAAATATCTGATGGCTTTCCTTTTCCTGCTGTCATTCTGCCCAAGGATTTGGTTTGGCCTTGCTTATTTTTGTGGGACATCAAGATCCAGGTTTAGAGAGCTCTCCAGCTCTCCTCTGTTGGACATTCTTTTTGCCTTTATCTGTATGTTATCATTTTTCATTAAAGACTGTGAACTAACCGTCCATCTGCTAGTGGATTGCTCATTCAAACATAACATTCATCAGCAGCAGATTCTGTTATAGAGCAGTAACGCATATACATGCATTGACATACAGCAAAGCAAAAATTTTACCGCATCCAACATATACAAATTCTCACCCCAGGATGGAATCCTAGTAATTACACTGTCCGTTATCTGCAAATATATCTTGTTGCCTGAGTTTAAAGGGGTCATATGATCTTGCTAAAAAGAACATTATTTGGTGTATTTGGGGTAATGAAATGTGTTTATGCGGTTTAAGGTTCCGTGTCCTCTTTTGGAAGGCCAAACAAAGTAGTTTCGCTTTCACAACGAAACACACGGTGGGCTAGAGTGAGCGGAGGCCAGCAGGCTAGAGAACAGCGCGGCCGGCGGATTCTACGAAGGAGCGTCCGGCGGGCTTGTGACAACCACATGTGACGACCCCGGGCTGGACTCCGCTTCATCCACAGTGAAAGCCGATCCGGCGATCTACAGCGCGAAGTTGATGTATTTCCTCAGTGACCAGCACAGATCAGCTCTAGGCACAAAGCGGATATCGTCCTCTTTTGGAAGACCAAACAAAGTAGTTTCGCTTTCACAACGAAGCACACAG